CTTTGGCAGAGTGGGGGAAAACAAACCTTGCCTAGTGGACATCTCAGACACAAGGCCCAGTAAACTTCCACTTTATTATCTCTGACTTGCTTTTTACTTCCATTGCCTTGCAAAAAGATCCTTTTGCATCATTTCAGCTGGCTTTGCTCATCAAAGGCTTTTTATAGATGTGCCTGTGTATGTGTTTAAATAGTTGATTTTAGTCCTATAAATACTGTTATACAAATAATATTAAAGTATTATGTATTATTTGTATAGGAATAATAGGTACATACCTTCATATACACGCTTAAATATATTTTCTTTACATATGAACAATTACTTGTATATAAATAATACAATATATTTATTATATATATAACATGTATACATAAACTCATGTGTCAGTGTGTAACTTAGTCTTTTTTAAAATCATGTTAACAGCTGTTCAGTACAACACTTCAGAACTTATCTCACAAGACTGCAGATACTACAGTAAATTAATAAGTGGAGATTTTTTTCTAGATGAGGTCTAAATTCTCTTCTTGGACCAATGGCATGACATTTAAAAAGCAGTACTCTAAAACATAAGCTTCAGCTGGAGAAGTACTTCCTCAGTTCGTACCCCATACACACCATCACTCAAAGACACTTCAAAGAAGAAAAGTTTTTCAGGCCAACCCTCCTGAACTTCAGGCACATTAGCAATTCCTCTTTGAACTGTTAGATTCCTTTTCAGCACAGAAATGGAAACAGGACTGTGTGTTACATCCCACCCATTTGCAAGGTCTGTTAAAATGTTAAAAAAGGACAAGTGAGTTCCAAATAAAGCCCTGGGGACCTGAAATAAATTCAGTGTGAAGTAATGCTGATTTAATACAAACGCTTTAGAAAGACTGATATAATGGATTAGTAAAGCTTTAGATCAAAAATTCTTTTTTTAATGGAAGAAACTTTCTGAATGCATTATTCCAAGCAATTCAAAGCAACGAGTGGAGACTTCACCTCCTGCTGCCAGATTTGCATTTAATGTATTTGACCTTCCACACCTGGAACTGCACAACTCCAAACCTGCAGCCCTGAACAAACCCAAACCCAGGAGCTCTGCCCATGCCAGGTTCTGTTTCTTGTCTGAACCTCTTTTAATAACCATCAGAAAGACCAAAACATGTCCAAACTCATATCCCTGTGGATGTGGTCCCTATTCTTGTCCATACAGAGAACATCCCTTGTGCAAGTCCAGTCAATGCTAGAGATTCTTCACATCTCTGAACAAAGCTGAGTGGCCTTTCTCTCACCTTTTGCTCACAGAATTCTTACACACCTCCTTCCATCTTGCAGCACTGTGATAACTCACTGTACTGCCATGACATTGGTGGCTCAGTATACCTAGCTGCAGAAACACATTGGGTATCATTTTATGTGAAAGTCTAAAACTGTAAAATTAATTTCAAAACCATGACTCATCCTTCACCTCAGCCCTGGCAATCCCAGGGCAGCCCCTCCCTCGCTCACTGCCCTTCCTCCATTTCACCACTTCCTACTCCATCTGAAGGGATTGCTTATCTTCCTCTGCTGCTGCAGCTCATTGTCACACCTACTTTTTCTCCAGCTTCTGCCTCTCATTGACCTCACCCAAAAGTCGTTTCTTTGCATTTTCAGTAATTAAAAACCAAAACAAAACCTACTTTTGAAGTTCCTCCTGCACTGGATTTTTTACTCCTGTTCCGAAGCTGGAGTTTATCTCCACTTCATGGCTCCCGTGATATCACAGAGTAACAATGGTTTGGGAGAGAACTCTGCAGTCTATTTTCAGCTCTCTCAACTGTTTCCACTGAAAGGTTTGTTTCAGTCTACCTGTCTCAATGCATTATACTCCATCATCCAACAAAGTGAACCATTTAACGTTCCAAAGAAGGACTTATCAACACATTTTTCCTTAGTGCATGAATAGAGTCAAAGAGCTTCAAAGAAAAAAATTATCTTGAAGTCCAGTCTTGGGTTTTTTTGTGTTCCTGTTTAGTCTTTTCATTGACCAAAAAAATTTGCTCACATGAGCCATCAGAGAAACGTGAACCATCGTGACCAGCAACCTATTTATCATCCAGCAGAACTCCCCAGCATCACAGACTTCTGTGGTGCCTGCCATGGAAGGCCTATCACACCCACAGAAAAACCCCATCAAACGCTAAGAGAATTCAACTGATCTTGAAAATTATCTTAGGTTCCTGCAGGGAGCCCAGTTATCTCCTAAAGAAACAAAACAGATTTTGAATTCCTTCAAAAAGTCTGTTACAGCAGTTAACACTTCAACAGATGTCATAATAAACAAATATATTTATGATATATTCCACTGATGTCCTAAATATGGAGCCATTTTATCAGATCATTTTACAGAGTTCAGTAAGGGAATGATGACAGAAGATTTTAAGAATAAAAGGATTATTCTGAAGACATCAATTACATGAATGAGCAATTGTGTCTTCATTAGAGGCTTTTATTATTTTGCCTGCACAGCTCTGAATAACAGCATATCAAACCAGTAAGCTTTAAGTTCAGGCTTCTTAGTTGCACTCACAGTTATTTTACTAGTGATGAAACTGGAACAGTTTCATTTAACACATTTTTTTTTAAATGGCAACAAAGCAAGAGTGACACATGGTGCAATTTTGTACCTGATCAATTAATTACTTAGAACACTAAAGAGCTCTGGAACTTCAGTAATTATTTACCATACTGATATCCTTCACACTTCAGGAAAAAACTCACCAGCATTCACTCCAAACTATTCAAGCCCATTGGAGCTACAGCCTCAGCTGTAGCACTCATCTTGGTAAGATACATGTTTTTCTAGTGGTTTTCTAAAGAACTGCATTGCTCTTTATAAACTTTAGAGAAATCACTTCAGCATAACAATATACATAAATAACACTGTTACCAAACTTGAAACTGGTCTTTCTTAGCGTATGAGAAATCAAGGTTAATCTTCCCAGTTTCTTGACTTAAATTCCTTTATATTCTGTTGCTCAATAGGTGGGTTTGAATTTCATCTCCCATCCCTCCCTATTTCTACCTTTTTTTAATCTATCAACCGTAAACAAGAGCATCCCACTTCTGAAAAAATGACAACGCCAATCCCAACTCCGGTTGAAAAAACTTACTTTATCTGTTTAGCATAAAACCTGCTATTTTCCCAGTAAATGACAAAAGCATCTTCAGGAAGCTGGGGAGAGATACCTGCCCCTCCTCTTCATGCACCAAGAGGTACCCACTCAAGCAAGGCACAATTGCTTTAAGTCACTTCCATTAGCTTTTTTTTTCCCTGCCATGAAGAACTGTCGCCAAAGAGAAAGGCCATTTAAAAAAAGGCTTGAGTCGAGGGTATGTCCCCTTCCCAGAGCCAGACGTTTTCCATTTATATTGCCTTTCCGGGGTGCACCGGCCATTCCTTCATTTCCTTCTGCCACCGCTTCAAACCCTAACTATGGAACCCATTACCTGACCTCTATATTTCTAAGAGGATTTTCCTGACCCGGGCTCAGCCTAAGCTCTGCAGACGAAGCCTTCCAGTGATTTTCCACTGGGTGACAGATACCCCGCACTTTTTGCCCCCTACCCCTCGTAATCGACCATCCCTGCGCATGGATAACCCAGGGGAAGAGCAGAGCAATTTAGGGGTGAATCGCTGTTTTCAGGGATCGCGTGGTAC